TCTATCATGAAGTCAATATAAAGGGATAGAATTAAATTGGAATTGGGTGAACAAAATTTTATCTAATAAATTCATAGCACGTCACGATGTTGGTGTTGTAGATGAGGCTGTAGTGTGTATAGTGTATACGGTACATTTATGAAGGAGACCTAAAAGAAAGCCTATTTGCTTTATTAAAAGCGGTTAATTCACCAGGAAATGGCTATTATGATATGTTGAAAAAACACTTTTTTCTGAACATTCCATTAAGTTCAATCACATTATTGGTGAATCAATTGATGGAGCAGCATACACAATGAGCGAGGAGTATTCAGGTTTACAATTTAAAATTAAAAGCCAAGAAAACTAAAAAAGCACATATATATAGTGCTATTACCATGTGCTTAACTTATGTGTATGTGATACATGTAGAGCACGGAAGCCAAAATATACTATTTGAATTTTTGAATCGATGATTATCAAAATTTTTTTAGTGAATCTTATAAACATATACACATATGGTTACATGAAATTGATTCAAGTTTGGGATCAAACCAATTGAAAAAGCTTCAAAAATAGGAGAGTGAAAAACCGCGATGGTGGTTGTGAGAAAAAGCGTTGTTTTGAATTTTTGATGGTGAAAAATGTCTTTTTCCTACAGTTTTAGTGCTTTACATCATATTTCTATTTCTAGACATTATTTGAACCTAAAGTTTTGTTCAGAAGCATCTTCTTTATTAAATATTTACCTAATTGATGTAATTTTAAAATAATTCTCATAGCTCATATATTTTTTAATACATTTATTGGGCCACGTTATCTTATCAGACAGGATATATCGACGTATTATCAGCCTGGAACATGATAGATTCTGTTAAACAAGAAATTGGACATACAGAATTTGACAGTATTTAAAAAAATTCTATAAATTTTTCGAACAAAATGAATGACCTTTATAATATGAGTCTTCCTGAAGATTTGTTAGTATCAAGTACTTTACCTGTTACTAGGAATAGCAGAAAAATAAATGAATGATTAGCTATGTGAAGACGAAACCCCAGAGTTACCATTAGACAAATTTAGAGTTGAAACATATCAATCAATAATCGACCAGATTATTAACATTCTAAACTCTAAACGAATGTTTCCCCGACAACAATATCAATTGTTAGCAGATGTTCAATTCTTAATACCTGTGTGGGTGCTAAACTAGATTTATACCAAAGAAGTAATAATCATATACAAATAGACAAAACTAAAAAATTGTATTACTATAGCATCTAAAATTGTTATAAAATGTATCAAATTGACTCAATTCTTCACAATATTTTATTAGGTAGGTACCCCCAAATATTTTATTATTAGTCCCGGTGGATCTAATTCAAAAATACTTTGGCTTTCAATTTTACAAAACTAGAATGATAATATCTTACTTTACTCTAAATATGCCTCAAATATTTATATCACATAATTTTAGATTTAATTTATAATAATTAATTTACATGTATTTAGTTGAATACTTAAAAACAAATTGTGTTAGGTAGGTACAAAAAAATTGTCGGTTAGTTATTATAGGCAGGTGTTACTTAATATGCTATTTAGACTTTGGAGTTTAGCTAGATATTTAATAAGATGTATACATTAGTTAATTACGTTACTGGACACGCCCAGCCAAAAGCACCAACTGAGAATTTTAATAATTTGGATTTTTCAAATAAAAAATAAATTATAAAAATGTCTTCACTATTAATTTATAATTGATGTCCATGATTATTAGTAAATACAGTAATAAGTTACACTAATTTGTCATGGATAATATATTCTTATATTATCTATAGTTTAAGCGCAAAACTACCTGTGGATAACAACTACCTATTCGATCAGCCATCAACATTCAGTGGCAAAACAACGCAATGATTTATTTACTTTTCTATGCGCAGTGCTTTAGCCGTTAATCAAACTTATAGTGTAAATCGTAAAGCTGTATAGGTTTACAATATTGTCAATTGATGATGTAGTTGCATTGTTACAATAATGTGGAAAATAACACATTAATCACAATTGTGTTAATTTAAATAAAAAATATTTAAATTAGGTACCACTGTGTTATTGCAAAAGTAATTTCGTAACAGTATTTTGTAATTTGAGTTATGTTACTAGCCATTACTAAACACTGTACAAAGGCACATACCTACCTTTGTGTTTATTATCATAAACATAATATAATGTGGTCCAGAAGACCAGAAATACAACAATAATTTCATAGTAGGTATGTACAAATATATAAAATTATAATTATTTTTTCTTATACCTACATAAATAGACAAAAGTTGACTGTACAGTGTACATACGTAGAGTGATAATATTGTACAGAACATGAACATATTGTAATAGTAGGTACACTAGTATTTATAGGAGGGGAATTTTGGAAAATATTTGGTAGGAAATTTAATATTTGGAAAATCTTGTTTGAATTTTATTTCATTGGGATGTACTAAGACACTAGGTCGGAAAATATTATAATGCAAAAATAATATGTTGTTGGAATCTTTTATAGTTGAAAAGATTTTTTTTTGGAAATATATTTTGTAAGAAAATATTCGGTACGAATTTATTTTATCGGAAAATATTTTTTCAAAAACATAAATAATCAAATTCTCATTTCTGGTTGGAATTTGCTTTTACGATAATAAATCTTTTTTTTTAATTGGGAAATTTCAGAAACATTTGATAACAAATAATAACTAAGGGGGATTAGAAATTAATCAATAATTAGTAACGTAACATTTTACATGTCCCAAATAATCAATGCATATTTTACTTGTGAAAATACTAAATAGTGATCAAATAATGGTTGTGTAAAGACTTTTTAATGTAAATGGTTGTAACTGACTATTGTATACTGACTGAGATTGTATACTCAATATAACATATAATTGCATAAAAATAATGCAATTTTCAAAAGATTGATATTTTAAGATAAAATCAACAAAATAATTAATATTGGTGTAGCACGTTATTAAGATATCAGTGCAGCGACGCAACGCTTTTTCTTTTACACTACAATAATCATAAACGCTAATGATTACTTAATAGTTATTAGTTATTACGCACAAATGTTCATTGTACACAACCCAGAAAATGGCTTATTTGGAATATTTGAACTCCTTAAAAACGGTTGGTATAAACAATCAACATTAGAAATAGAAAAAATGTAATTTAATTTAATACAATAATTTAAAATCTATAGTTCATTAACTATTAACATCTATCATTGCAATCAATTAGGTATACAATGTTTTTTTGAATGCATTGTTCTTGTTAAAATAGATTAATTTATTTGGTTGTACATTATAGGTTAGTTCGTCCCTATATTGTATAAATATTTTTCCTTTTTTATTATTCAATGTCTTATAATTACCATTGTACAAAAATAATAATAGTAACAATTTATACAAAATCTGATTGTAGTGAGTATTGAATTATAAACAAACATTAGAAAACATCTGGGGGAGTTGTCAAAATCAATGGTAGAACAATGGAGTGAAGTACCTGGTACAATATTATTATAGTTATCATGTCATATTTTAATAGTAGATGTAAACAGCTTACAGTTGGTAATACTTAAGTTGTTATTTTAGATTAATGCGGGTACCCTTAACGAAAATTGTGGTTTGCGGGCACACGGACCATGAACCATACGTATTAACGTTACCCAATAATACTTAGGCAATACAATTTATTTAGGAAATATTATTGGGTAATATAATACATTGAATTACAAACAATAATTCAATAATAAAAAAAAGATAAGTGTAATTTGTTTACTATTGTCATAAAACAATATAGAAAACGTTCAAGATTACTAATGAAAAATATTTCAAATTCAATGTTCATAAATACTAATTGTCCACCTTTACACAAATGAAATCTTAATGACTATGTCAAAAGTTGGTTAACCTCGCATAGAGATGCTGATGACATGTCAAGAAAAGTTAATACCACAACCACGAATTAAGATATCTTAATTTGTGACCACAACAGACCCCCAAGATCTAAAATACAAACAAAAATATATTATTCAAGTAATTTCCATAATAATATATAAATGTTTATAAATATATTATAATAATAAAAAATAATAATAATATGATTCATTAATTTGTTAATTATATTTTGAGAAAATGTATAGCTTTAAATTTTTTTTGATGGATTGTGAGTTAAAAATATATCAATCATAATTTATGAGGTTTTATATAGACAAATAGATGAAGTATTGTACGAGTACCAAATAATGGTGGAGGACTGGGAGGTTATTTTTTACAATGATTAAGGTATGTACCCATGCATTTATTTAGGACTACATCACTGCAACTCTGTCTTCTAATAATATATATTTGACTCGTTTTGAATTTTTTTTTCTCGTGTCATACAACCACAATTAGACAGATAAATATAAATAAAAAAAAATATACAATTTTAGAGGAGTCTTAAGAGGGAACTGCAATCATAAGTAATTATTGTATATTGTTATTATCTGTTTATTATAATAATTTTTAATAGTAAAAATCATTGTTAATTATCAAGCATACCTACATAATACATTAAATATTTTTTCAATTATGTAATACCTATATATTGTTTTTTTAATTAAATAAGAGATAAGTTAAACATTCTAGTTTAGAAAATATTTTATTATAAGGCAACTTATATTTCCTAACAGATTGTCTTTCATACTAAATGATCAATTAAACATTTTTTTTTCTTAAATGTTAAAACATATTCTTTAATAGATAAATAACCAAAATTAAGGTTACATATTATACAGAGCTGAAAATTAAACAAAGATCATGGCAGACAAGTAATGATAATTTTGATTTACCGACACTATAACAGCTTCAGTAAATTAATACACTGGTTTAATTTACAACTTATCGTAATTTCTAAATTAATCTATGCACCAAATAATCAGGAAAATGTAATAACTTAAAAATAATAAAGTAGTATTTAGTTGTAAAAGTTTAGAAATCGTTATTTTTTGTTAATTGTTTATGACGTTGTTTGGCATATCTGATCCATTCCTTGATGTACGAATTAACCTTTTGCTTTGTAACTTGTTTGTATTTGGTTTTTGATACATCTAAGGGTGTATTTAAATATAACAATAAATATACTTATAAAGAGAATTTTTTTCAATATTTGATTAGGAAAGGCATTTCCAATCATAAAGTACCTAGATACGTACCAAAAATAATTTTGATGACTTTTAAATTTCCAATTTGAAAATTTCCTCGAAATCCATGCCAAGAATAGTTGCTTGTTAAACTATAAGTAAACAATGTACGCAAAATTGTTCTAACAAAGTTTTTCAAATTTGATCCCTGCTTATCAAGATTTTTAGGTGTGATAAATGAAATCTGTGAACAAACATATTTTAATAAAACTAAAATAACATAAAATATATGAATCTGTAAATACTGTAAAATATAATATTAAAAAAAAAATATTTGTTTAGTTAGATATTATGTAATTTTTTACACGGATTTTTTTTCCATGTATTATCTGCACCGTTTTTTGATTTTTCCCTTATCTATTATTTTTTACCAAGTATTTGTTATTTTGATAACAATTAATTTTTGTTTAGATTATTCATTAAGTATTTACAGGAAAGTTACGTATTTAATACCTTATTGAAAACAAACCGTTGGTGTGTAATTTTTTCAATTCCTTATTTTAAATTATACCTAGATGGCTAATTAAAAAAATAATTATTAAATATTTTACAAATCAGTTAAATACTTTTTTTTTTTTTATCGAACAAAAATGTATATTGACAATCTGTATTTACAAGTTATACAATAAGTAAATGGGATGTGGTTTGATTGACAGGAGGGGGAAGTCACCCAATGGTGGCACGCAATAGTTTAATACTTAATTGCAAAAATAAATAATACCAATAAGTTAGGTAAATTTTTCTGAAAATTAACACAAATTAAAAAAAAAAAATATTGAACTTTTATTTTATCCAGAAAAGAAGCCCGGGGTTTATGGGATTTTTTCAAAATAATGAGTTTGTTTAACCCAGAAAAGCAGCCCAGGTTTTTTCGGCTAGGCTTTTTAGTGCCAACCCTGATTCAAACTCAAACTTAAATATTTCAGCCTTACGAATTCAAAAAATAATAATATTAAAAATAAAAAAAATGATTGTATATATAGTCTGTTTAAAATAAGAACAGTAGTCGGCGGCGATGAGTTTTTGTCGGGTGGCGGTCAGACATTGTCAGGCGCCGTTCCCAGTACGGCGACAAGTTGGGCGCTGCCACAGACCAAAGCCACGCTCATGAGCAGAACTCGGCCACCGACTACTGTTCTTATTTTCAAGTTTACTGTTCAACAACAGAATAATATTATGTATTAAAAAACCTCAAACTTAAATAATTCAGCCTTAAGAACTCAAAAAATAATAATAATAACAAGTTTTAAATAATAAAAATAAAACAATTTTATTATCTATTATCTATTTTTATAAAATATTCAAATTTGAACCCAATATGGCAATATATTTTTAAAACATGTTTTATACACAAAATATTCTTTTTTATGCGCTAAAAAATGTTGTATATCAATTCATAGGTAAAAGAAACCTCGAGAAAGCTTATCCAATTGGAGCTGCATACTCTCAGTAAAGATATGTAAAAACATAAAAATCCAGTCTCTATTCTCATATAAATCCTTAGTACTTACTACAAAATTACTACTTTCAAATTGAAAGCAAATAGGTATGGAAAAAGTATTGGAATATTTTTACAATGTCAGGTGACAAAAAAGATAAAATACCTAGTACGGTTGCAACGCTTTGCGCTACCTTGAGCCAACATTCTGTGTTAACTAATGCGCAACACCTATATAAATAAATAAAGGAAAGAAAAACTTACAAACTTTTTATAGAAATGTGAACTTTCATCTACGAGTCTTAATTCGAGTTCAATAACATCTTCTATTTTTTTTAAGGGAAACATTAAAAGAAAATCGACATTGTCCGATGTTGATACTGGTAGTTGTTGAGCTTTTACTTGTGCTTTATCAGATTGTGCATCATTAAATTTCTGTGATAAAAAGTCCAAGTTTGAATTTATTCTTTTCATACATTCCCAAATACTGTGGATATCAATGTACGAATCAATATTTTCTTTTAAATCTAAAAAATAATAATCAAAAATGAACATATAATAAATTTGATGTATGTCTTTTAAGTAGGCATTTACCTTGATCAGTGTTATGTTCAGTAGAAATAATACGGGAATCTGAATCCTCCAATTTGCTCAAAGTTGTCATACAACTATCACAATTTTCTTGATCAGTTTTATTTTCAGGGGAAATAATATTTGAATCCGAATCCACAACTTCATTCGAAGTCATCTTACAAACATCCTCTATTCCTTGATCAGTGTTATTTTCAGGAGAAATAATATGTGAATCCGAATCCTCCAATTTTATTGAAGTCGTCGTACAAACATCCCATTTCCCTTGATCAGTATTATCTTTAGGTGAAATAATACAAGTATCCGAATCTACCACTTCGTCCGAAATCGTCTTACAATTATCCCCTATTCCTTGATCAGTGTTATTTTCAGGTGAAATAATACAGATATTGGAATCCTCTAATTCGTTCAAAGTTTCCATACAACAATTTAATTTTCCTTGATCAATGTTATCTTCAGGTGAAACAATATGGATATCCAAATTGTTCAATTCATTTGAAGTTGTCATACTATTATCACTTATTCCTTGATCAGTGTTATTTTCAGGTGAAATAATACAGATATTGGAATCCTCCAATTCGTTCAAAGTTGCCATACAACAATCTAATTTACCTTGATCAATGTTATCTTTGGGTGAAATAATACTGGTATCCGAATCATTTAATTCATATGTAGTCGTCATAAAAATATCCAAATTTTCTTGATCAGTGTTATCTTCAGGTGAAATAATACATGAATCCGAATACTCCATTTCATTCGAAGTCGTCATACAACTATCCGATTCTATTTGATCAATGTTATTTTCAAGTAAAATAATATGTGAATCCAAATCCTCCATTCCAAACGTAGTCGTTATACTACTATCCATTTGGCTAGAATCCACACCACACACGAGAATGTATAGAAAAACTAAACATAATCACCGAAAGCCACGTTAAAATGCAATAATTGTTGGTACTAATTGATGAGCAACAAGATTTAATAAAATGCCTACTACAATGGTACACAACGATTCGGTGCTATGATAACGAAAACTGTATAATGCCCAGACCGCAAGCGTTTTGGATGATGTTCGTTTGATTGTGATCCGATGCTCTTGACCGTCGTCCACGTATTTCAGATGGCGAGAACTACGGATTTCTTGAACGGTTCAGCCATAGATAAGTACATAAAAGACGATAATCAGCGACGCTGTTGCGTACAAATTTGAATGAGAGAATACTGACTATAATTATTAAGGTAATTAAATAAATTGTTGCTCTGGCTGATGGATGTTGTTGTTCTTCTCAACTGATAACAGTTCTGTTATCTGAATTGATAAACGTGTATTACGCTCGTGAACGGAACATGGTGGTAAACAAAGAACCGCGGCTGTGGTTTGCATCGTTTTGGCGGTAAAATTATTTCGTTATCATCGTTATTTATCATTACCCATTGTTATTATCATGACTGTAATGCATTATTATTATCATTAGGTACGCCAATATAATATTATTTAATATTTTAATGTATTTTATTAATATTAAAAACTACTATGAATCTTAAACATAATTATGTAATTTTGATTTTTTGATGTGATTTGTTGACTGTCTATTAGCAGCGTTTGAAATTTGTTCATTCTGGTGAGTCTTTGAAGTCAAATGTACTACTTTGGCCATTTAGACCAAATATACAAACATGTTTTTCCACATCCACCAACTCGTTCTTCCGCCATACTCCGTACTCAGTTTTTTCCCTCCAAAAAATTTCTTTAGCTTGCTCTCTCCTACTGACTAACATGTATTATATGTTTGATGCCTAATTTTTATTGCTTCAATAAGTTTTGTGCACTGACTTTTCTCCGTGTCTCATTGTTCCCTAGAAATTACCCATATTATTATCTGCATAGGTATTCTAAAAAACTTATTGTTAATTGATCCAATTTTGAAATATCCCTTATGCCATTTTTAAATCTGTCATTCAACAATTCCATGATCAATCTGATTTACATATACAACACCTGCCAATTTCCATGTACCTACCTTTATATTAAATATTTTTGTGGGCAAAATAAAATTGTACTTATATTTTCTAAGTTTCTTCCAATGGCTAAACCAAGCAGTGTCAAAGGTACATGGGAGTCAAAGAGACATTTTCCACCCACTTAAAATACTGACAACAGTTTTTAAATACCTAATAAATTTAATAAAATATTAACTTTACAAGTTTGAATGTTATAATAATGCCACAATATTCACTTCAAGTCAATGTGGGGCTGTTGCAAAACACACTGTATTATATTTAGCCACGAGAGCTCCACTTTTCCTACACTGTTCATTGTAGTCTGCAGACTTATACCATTACCCATTTAAACACTCCATATGGAAATTTATTATATTATGTTAAATTACAAAACGTTATTTTACAACGAGTGTTTAAAATTATGTTTTTGTTTAATAAAAGAAACATCTATTAACTATGTTTTTTTAGATTTACAAGGATTATATAACCAGGTAAAATAATACCATTACCCAGCCATGCAAAAGTACATGTCTAAATCTGAAGTTCGATGTGCAAGTTTAATGAACAATGTATTGGAAGAAAACATTGATATAAATGAAATTTTGGAAAAAATTAGATCATTTGAGCAATGTGTAAGTTTATAATTTAATACTTATAGAAATCTTACATGCTTTATGTATCTACTTATATATCGATGGTTATTAGATATAGACGAGACGTTCTTAGTTTTCAAGAGAACCTACAATTTTTATTGTGATCTTTTTCTGATTAGATACGACTTTTTAAGTAAAAAAAGATATTTTCTTTGTTAAGTACTTTTTTCAATTTGTATTTTGCTTTTCTTCTTCTTCTTCTTTTGTGATTAATTAATTTTGATTTTCACTTTTTTTTAACCATATACTTTTGGTTCTTCGGTTTTGTTATAAAAACATATTACTTCATGATTTGAATTTAAAGACTTTTTTGAAAAGAAACAATTACTTTAGTTTTTTGAATTTGAAAATTGTTTAGCTATTGTTTTCTTATTATTGTATTTTAACCTCTGTACTTTTTGAACTTTCGTTGGAAAACGTTTAGTGTGCATTGGTGATTAAATTTGACCATTCATTATGTGTCCATACAGCTTTATATCTTATAATAAGCGTTCTAGTGTAGCCATTAAAAAATCGACTGGTGGGTGGTGTGGCTTAGTTACCGTTAATACAAACCCTAACTGAGCTGGAACACTAGTACCCCGAATACGGTTAGACTCCGTAGTGCGGGGTCTTCCACTATATTTCCCTAACTGTGATTTAGGGCACATTATCAAATATTTGTGTAGTAAACATATTTTATGTACCTATATTAATTATATTCACATACCATATGATTTTTTTAAATTATGAATCATACAATTGTTGCCGTATAATATATGGTCAAGTTCAATATAGGTAAATAATATATTAGTGTGTATATAAAATATATAATCATATAACTGTTGTAACTAATAAGAGCTATATTGTTAGTATTTTTTACGTAACTTACTATTTTAGACTTCAATAGTTTAATGATAGTATTTAAACAAATAAGTATAATAAATTAATAAATAACTGAATTATTAAATGAATACTTTTACATTTCATATAATGAATAACTAATATTGAGTTAAATATTAGGTAGGTAAGTTGGGAACGTTGGACATTGGGTAATCAAATTTAAAAAAAAAATGTATATGTTTATAGTTACAATTTTACCATTATTACACTATAGTAGTATAGTCAATTGCATAAAATATTTAAATATTTACATAATTATTTTTTTTACTATTTTTATGTTAGTACCAAAGTACCTTCGTTATGCGATTTTGAATTCAATTTATTTTCTTCAATATTACTAGCTAGATATCTATTAGTATTTTTAGACTATAATGATACTATTTAATAATTTTCAAGATATAAAGTATTAGATATTTTAGATAAAACTACCAATGTAATTACCTATCTAATATTTTAACTTGAATATCGAATACATTACAACAATTTTATACTTAACAATTTAAAATATCATATACGTATGTAAATATAATTACCATAGAAAGGTACATAAAATATGCTTGCTACACAAATATTTAATAAAACTCCCTAAATCAGATGGGAATGTACTGAAGAGCCTGCACTACGGAGTCTAACTAAATTCGGGCACTAGTGCTTAAGCTCAGTTACGATTTTTAAATGTGGCAAGGAAAAATAATCATTATTTTTAACTTCTTCAATGATTTCAAACTTTGTGTTACACAGCATTGCTATAATTCCGAGGTTTTTATTTTGGCCGTAGAATCAACTTGAATAGCAATAAAGAGTGAACTCGTTGACTTGTTTTTTATATGATAATAATTTATTATTATATTTATATACATAAATATAAGTATGATATACCTCTTTTTTGAGCACGCAAAATATACTGTTGTTTATATCTTAAATTAAATTAATATTGTTAATTAAATAATGGTCACACCTGTTTCTGCTAATAAACATATTTGGAATAAAAACATTTTTCTCTGTCCAACAGTATAAACCATGTGTCGCATAGACCCATTTACCATGTATACCATATGTAATTAACAAATTATCAGAAAATGTATTAATTTATAATTTATGTATTATAGAACATTCGTCATGGTGTAGGAAAAATAGAATTTACATTTTATGTGATTGATTTTGTTCAATAATAAGACTATGTGTAAGTAACTGATTATATTGATTTTTATTATGGCACTGAACTATAATCATGTATATTAAAAATATATCCATTTTATTAGGTATGTAAATCTGCAAGATGAAAATGAAACTGTTATAAACAATGCATTTAATGTGCCAGAAGTTGAATCACCGATGGTGAAACGAATAATACCTAAAGTATCGACAACAAAAGGTTCCAACAATCAAGGCAAAAAGACAGTTCAAATACATTCGGTGACTTCAAAAATAAACAAAACAAAAATAATTGGTATGTTGTTAATTTTGTAAAATAGTTTATTAGTTTTTAAGAACATTTTTATTTTATTTTATTTCTTTAAAATATAGAACTGTTTATAACTGTTTAATAAATTTTTGAATTGTTAACAGAAAATCTTCTTATACACTTTGAAATATACAATATCATATTGTTTTTCTATTTAAATTTGAATCTATCCTTTCGTTATAGAAGAAAAATTTTTATTAAATACTTATTGTAAGGTTAGGGATTTGATTTCAAAACTAACATTTATTGACTGTTCATGTTCATTTATATTTAACAAGTAGATTTATTGTGTGTTAATTTTTCAGATACCACTAAGAAAGAACGAAGGAGCTTGGATATATTGGGAAGTCTGTACGCTGCAATGATAAATTCTAACATATTATGTAATTTGTTTCATGAATTAGGTTATGTTTTTACACTTCTTGCAGTAAAAGATCATGAAATAAAATTTAATAATGACAGTTTTAGTTCAAATAATACATATTTCAAATCATCTGATGATTGTCATTATTTTTGCTTCAAAGACTATAGAACAATTAGTTTTTCAATTTTAAGTTATTTGGAAAAAACCAATTATTATCTAATTTTAAAAACAGAAAGTAATCAACACATATGTACCAGAAGTGGCTAAAACTTTTGAGAGTAATTTAAACACATCAGTAGTAATACATATAACATTATTATATTAATAGTATTTACTTGGATACAAAATGTATATAAATATTGTGAATTATTGTTTTGTTTTCAGAACATAAATGATGATATTAAGTCATTAAATTCAAGTATATCAAAAGATATGGTGAAATTTGATGGTGAACAAGATGCCAAAGACTGTTTTCCATCAATAAAAATGTTCCATGCTTTCAAAACCCAAAGAGATGCATTTTATGATTTACTTGAAAATTGGAAACAAAATGAAAATCAGTTTGAGCTAGATTCTAAGAAATTTGAACATATTAAGAAAATGCTTAATGAAAATAATAATTCTGTTAATATGAGTAAATTTGCTAAATTATTTGTCGCTCAATTGATAAATTCTACATTTGAAGAATCAAAGGTTATCTTTTCATACTAATTCATCAATACTTACAGTTTTTTCATCTAATATAATTTATTCATTGTTTAATATTTCTACATATATTTTTAGAATGTCTATAAAAATAAAACTATTAAAGAGTTGTCAGCCTCAAAATTAGAATTACTCCATCAGCGAATTACTAAACGAGATTATACAAGTGGATATAGTGTTGATCCAGCTAACGAATTTCCTGGCATGCAAATGTTTTTTAAAGAATTCGTCATTATGTTGTTGGGTGATGGAATTTTTTGTAAACATTTAATCGACACTTTAGTACACAGAATCGATGTATTAAATACAATGGAATGGGCTTCTGAACTACAAGAAGGTTTGTAGCGTTTAATTTATTAAAAATACAAATTGCTACAAAGAAACATTTATATTTTCAAGGTGCAATTTATCAACAAACTTCTTTTTTTTATGTTGATACTTTAAAATTGTTAGCCAAATTTTTGGCCTTTGCGTTATATAATCCGTACAAAGATTATGATGTTTTAAATCCGGCTTTAAAAGATTATATATGGGAAGTACGATCAAAGGTAATTTGTGTATTATAATATTATATTAATTATACTCTAATCTTATTCTTAACATTATGTTTCATATATAGGCTTTACCTCCAATAAATTTACTTGCTAAATTACATAGTGCTCTTAAACATGGACATAGTGAAATTGTATTAACAACTTCATGGATAATTGAATACTTGTATCAAGTGGATCGGATTTCAATTACAACTCCTTTTTATAAAGATGTACTAATTTTGATCTATTCTCTGTGTATGTTAAATTCAGATATAACTGGTTCCATACTAATGTTGCGGTTACAGTTTAATTGTTTAATTGAACACATAAATATTGAACCTCATACACTATTTGATGACTCAAAAAGATGTTTTGATAAAAGTAATTTATTATCTAATGTATATTATTGTTATTGTAATTTATTATGATGTATTTTATACTATAGGTCTTTTTGAACATTTTGTAAAGGAATTAAAAAATGGTATTACAGTTAACACAAAGCAAATTTATCACTATTGTCCACAACTAAATAACTATCGTTCTGTATTAGAAAGTAAAGTTAATAATAAAAAGATAAAATTTTTATCGCCTACTGTCAGTATACCTAGTCGAAAAATAAATCAAAATCATCAGATAGAAGTGAGTATACAGTTAACAAATAAGATAAATACAATTTTAATTTTAATTTTAGTTGGAATTAGAATCACATTTCTTTGAAAATCATTCCTCATCTGTATTAGCAACAGTTGATTTCATTGCTAAACGAATTGCTTCTACTTGCACCAAAAAGATTCAAAACAAAGGTATGGCTGCTGTAAAGAATCAATTTGTTGATATTGTGTGTGAAAAATTCAAAGAACATATCAGCGAAAATACAGTGAGTAAAATTATTATTTTGCTAATCATAATGTGTATCAGACAAACTAAATATTTAATTACTAATTTTTACAGGATACAATGTTTAAAGTGGATGAAAATGATGTTGCAAAGTGTAGTTTATTTTTAAGCACCTCTATTCAACAGTACGTAGATCATTTTTCCAAAAACAATATTCCCAACTCAATTCAAGAACTATTAGATTCTGAATCTGTGAACCCGGGCTCTTTGCCTTTTTGTATTGCTGTTACAGTTCGTAAATTTAAAGCACTAGTAACAGATTGGGTTAAGAATCATATAAATATCAAAAGTAATATTATGTTGTATCTCGTTTTTATCAATTTGAATTAAACTGATTGATAATGTTGTTAACAGATATGTTCATTACTTACATTAGTACTGAATTGAAAACAAATTTGAAAACTGGTATTATAAATGAAGATGGAAATAATCTTCGTGAACTATTGATGCCTACTCATTGTGATGAGCCAGATGAAGATTATTTTATCCCGGAAAATGAACTATTGATAGATTTGAATGTAAGTATATTCCATTTTGAAAAAGTCACTCAAAAAATTATTTTTGCAGAAAAAGTATTTAAATATTTAGTTTGTGTGAATTGTATGTTACTCCTTCATTAAGGTCAATGCCATAATGATACTAAAATGGCGTTACATTTTAATGTATGAGACCAATTATCTGAGCAACCTCTACAAAAATAAAATCTGAAAGCGTCTATTGATTATATAAAACCAGACACAAGACTACATGCTACATAATTTTAATGCAATTTCGTTGAGATAATAATTTTCAACACAATTATTTAAAGTAATTTAAGCAAACATTATTTTTATTTATTGTTTGTTTATTTTTATTGAAATTTTATTGGACCACATTTTGTTTACATTTAACATTTTGTATAATACATTCCTGTACATGGTATTTGTTTGTTATTATCCTGTTGCCACTACACTTAATACAATTTATCACCCCACCAATTGTCTGTTGCACTCGAATATTTTTTATCTACGTTACACAACTTTCAAATAAAAGTAATAATAATAATATTGTTTTACAATTAATAGTAGCGTAGTTAATAATGACACGTAAATAAATATACAAAAATATGACTATTATCTAAAAATGTTTTAATGTCACATATCTTATTTAAAATTAAGTGATAGTATTATATTGTGGGGAATAATTCATAAAAATAAATTTTTAACAATGTATAAAATTGATTAATTATGTTTGTTATATATAGGTGACTTACTTGACTTTACACGTACAAAATAGCAAAAGGGACAACATACTAATAGGATTGTAATATAATAAAATATAATATTTAATGTACAAGAAGTATTTATCCTTTTTCTATTAATAGATAACATACCAGACTTATCTGCATGTATGAAATAGATTATGGAGATATAGAGAATATCAAAACTTTAAATTAAAGATTGCTGATGTTATATTGTCTGGTGGTCTGGTGATCAATTAAATACGACTTGGTGGCAGGAGAATAGTAAACAAGACCCTTTATAGACTATAATTATTCAGCATGACATTTATGTAATTACTTAAAAAAATACATAAATTTAGGTCAAAATATAAATTTGTATCAAATCATATTTTCTTAAAATACTTGAATTATTAATTATAATTTAAAAATTTCAATTATTTGTAATTAATTCAAATGTTTTTTTTTTATAAAGAATGAAAAAATTAAATAAAAATACATTACTGATATGAAAAAATAAGGACTAAAAAATATTTATTTTATAAAACAAAGATTTTAATTTCAACATTTAGTTTTGCAAATTATATATAATATTTTTTTTTTAAATATATTTTTGCAGGTCTTGTTTCTAAACTTGTTTATACCAATGTTATTTTAATTTAATATTACCTTTAATTTATATTAATACCATAGTTCAGATATTTAATTAATTAGTCCATTATTTATAATACTTTAAAAAAATATTATAAAAAAGAAAATATACTACCTACCTAATTATGATAATTTATTCAAAACTAATTTTATAAATTTCTTATTTTAGAATTATTTATACCTTTTTTTTATATAAATATGTTTTTACAGTGGGTTCAGATATTTTTATTTTTGAAATAATTTTGCAAATATTACAAAAATGTAAAAACTACCTGATTCCCACTAAGGTATATACAATGATTGATGGTTACTTATAACATGTTTATCTTCAAACATTTTCTTTAAAGTGGAGACATCGAGTAGCGTGTTCGTTTATGTCACTCAACGCCAATTTTATATAAAACGACTAATTTTTAACTTAATATATTATATGTATATGAATAATATGTTACATATTGGTGCTATAGTATTATGAATTTTAAAACCATGTTTTAGTAATGAGAATGAATATTCATGCTCATAGATCTTTTGTGAAAAATAAAGAGTAGTAGTATTTTTTGTATCACTAGGGTCAGATGTTTTTATTTTAACATTACATATCTTATGACTTAGTAGTTATTTATATTTAGTTTACATTTCAAAATGTTATAAGTAATTATTTTAATTTTGTCTAGAATACATAAAATAATATAAAGGTTAGGCATTATCGAGTTAAAATTTGGTAAGTTACTTTATTCAAATTATTTAGCTACATAGAGTTAATTTTTTTAATGTAACTTTAACTTAAAGAGTTGAATTTTTATCGATGATATTTATGAGTTGAGTAAAAGAAAAGTAAATTTTAACTTTTGTATTACCTCACATTTTTCTATCTAACCTTCACTTAAAGTTTAAAAAAAAAATCTTTAATTTTTCCAGCTTTTGTTTACTCAAAATGTTACTATCATTAATGACACATTTGTTATTTTTATTCTTTTTATAGACCGGATAACTGATATTTAAGTGAAACATACTGATTTTGGATATGACTTATCATAATATATATGTTAATGTGATTAGAACTAATAAATTGTTTATATTAATTCTTTCAGATGTTTAGTTTAAAAATTATTGAAGTTGATAATCATAAACTATCTCTGGATGATATTTCAGAATATTCTGAAAGATTTAAAATTATTTTAGAAAACAAAAATAACATGGAATTAAATTTATACCGATTTATAATAACAAGACTGATTGATAACTTATTACTAGCAAGTATGTCAACTGTCAATGAATGGAAATTTCTCAAAAACCCTAGTACTCTGTATTAATATTTTTTTGTTTCAGCTTATCAAATGCCGATGTTATTTAATAAAGATGTGATGAAAGCTTATCATCCGTATTTCGCTGAAAATATGTATACCGTTTCAATGATAGTATGTGAACGTAACATATATATTCTGTCACAGAAGTCTAATTCTCATAAGGCTATTATAAGTGAAAAAATAACAGCTTGGATACAATATTTCATAGAAAACGATTTCCTAACTATTGATGAACTAACAGATCAAATTATGTCAATTTTACAATTATCTTGGCCAGAGGTAATTTTAAATAAATAAAGAACTTACACAATTAAAATCAAAATTTTTTTAGGATACATTAAAATGTTTATCGATTTGCTTTAAAGACCTTAACAGTGTATGTTTAAAGAAATTTGATGATACAAAGGTGCAAGAGTTATTCATGTGGTTAACAAATTTCATGGACATGATTGAGGATTATGATATCGATTATTGAAAACAATATAAATAGAGATATTTACTTTTTGTTTCCATTTTTTTTTATACATTTATTTTATTTTTTATTTTTTTAACGAGACTGAATTTTTACAAGATCAGATTTTTTAACTAGAATTAACAGTTTGATCTCTTTTTAAAATCATTGAAAATATTTTCGGTGTAACTTATAATTATTTAATTATTTGTTTAAATTACAAATATTAATATTTAATTGTGTATACATATTAATATATGCAATATTATAATTAAATATAATCAAATCTCATAATGCACATTATGTTTAGAGTTCATTAATTTTAATATGAATAATCCATATTTAAAGGTATTACATCATGAGAGTTTTTCAAGGCTTTCTATCAATATAGACCTACTTTATGTGGTAAACGGTCACTTTGCCTTGCCTGGTGTATTGTTCAGAGTACAATATAACTCGGACACTTTGTATGGTCAGGTAAAAATGTTCATTTCAAACGTAGACATCTTTCACTATTTTGTGAATATAAGTATATATGTTATAAAGTTTTATGAGATTTAAACATCATTTTTATTTAAAAGTAAATTAAAGATGTTATAAATAGTAAATTAACAAGCCAAATTATTCTTGTTTTTTAAATTAACAGGTAGGATGGTAGGTAACAACCAAACATTACTATTGGTGCTATAAAATATATTTTCTAAATTATAATTATATTACCAAATCAAATATACCAGTATGTATTTAAACTTAAAAATATTTTTTTTGTAATTGTTCAGAACTTCAGACTATTTTTATATTATACCTACTATACTAATGAGCTATACTTTATGTACCTATATAATAGTGCAAAGTGTCCGCGTTTTACAATATATAGTTTAATTGGAGCACTCAAATTGTCCACGTTCTGAAATTCTAATTGTTTACCGATCGTACATTGTCCGCATTTCGCACATTTAATGTTCTACTGTAAAAAGTGGCCTATGACTATCTAGTAATTGGATACATTTTCTGAAAACACATTTGAAATTGTTTAGAAATTAGATTTTTACTTTTTTTAATTAAACTTTCAATCCCTTAAAAATGTATTAATTAATTATATTTAAAATGTTAATGAATATTTAATATTTAACTGAATAATTTTAAAAAAAAATTGAATATATTTTCAGAAATTTCATTGGATAAATAGGTTAGTTGATACAATTGAAAAGAGATTGATACTTTTAGAAAAAAATTTAAAAAAAAAGTGGACAAGTGGGTGTTGCTCTGATGTACATTACGCTACAAGTTGGTCACTGTAATATGAATGGTGTTAAATTTTAATTCAATGATATAATATCATTGTGTAAGAAAAACGATTCTTAACGAAGACTAAGTACCTATATTTGATGATATTATTGTGAATAAAGTAATTTATACATAATCTATTTACTTGGAATCTAAATATCTAATTGATAGTAAATTGAACAAGTTTTTCGGAACTAGAACTAGGATTTAATTTTAGAAAAATAAATGTTCTGTTGTTGGTCTTCTTTTACATTTTTTTTACTAATTATTTAGAGGTGATGATATGTTATTTAATAGTCATAATACCTACTATTAATTGATACAAATTTCTCATATCAATATCCAGTGGCACAACTAGCGAAGGGGAGGCTAGAAGGTTAAGCAACCCCCCCCCCCAACACAACTGAAAACGAATTAGCCTTCCAAAAATATCCCTTATTGATTTAGATATTTAGATATAAGCCCCCGATGGGTTATTTTAAATTAATAGTTTTGTAAGGTGGGCTGTAGTCCCTCCAGAATTGTAACCCAAGTTCCGCCTATATGACAATACTGGGGTTTAACTAACAGGTAACATTTATTAAATACACCAACTGCACCACCTGCCCACCACGGTCCACGACACCACCCACAATTACCAGTGTCACTGTAATAAATATTATAATTTATAGACCAAGAACTTATAGCTACTATTATAAATATTACTAATATTATGTTAGTAGTTAGCAGGTACCTATTACAAGTTATAATAATCTGTTGAGAAAACAGAAAAACGCTTATCGATTAAAATGTGAAAAGAGTACAAACACAACAATGCAAACAGTTTTTTCCATATTTTATAACTAAAAATAAAATTGTTCATTATTGCATTGATATAAGTTCATTCATGTGTTTAAGGTTGTGTGCAATTTAAATCCGTGAGTTATTTTACCAATATATAATACTTAATTTCTTCTTTTGGCTCCATTTTCAACCAGTCTATACAAATAAAGTTTAAACCAGTTAATAAAAATTAAAAATCAAAAATTGTTCATTAAAAATTATTTATTTTAGACATGCGCCAACTTGTGCATGTCATAGGTGAAGACGTGTAAACGGAGTTTTTTTTCTCAAGAATTTAGACTCTTAAACGGAAGAAAAGCACTTTCAGTTGGTACCTACGTAGGTAATCCTATATTATCAAAATCTAAACGAACCGTAATCATAAATGATCTAGAATAATAAAATTACAATAATTACAAAACCATTTCTTTTCTACAAGCAGATTTAAAATCATTACGTGTCTCATAACTAGGTAGGTAGGTACCCTAAATAATCCAGTAAGCAAGAGATTGGTTTTCTATAATAGGGTATCCTATTGAAACGACTAATGAGTTGACTAACGGTCAAATCTATGTAAATACTTTTTGAGAGAACCCTTATGGAAGTTTATTTTATACCAATAAGTAATATTATACATTGATTATAATTATTATAATAATATATTAATAACATATCAATATTTTGTTGTTCATTATACTGTAAAATCAATTATTATAATGCATACCTATATATTATAGTATTAAAATAAATAAAATAAAATAAGTCGGTGGGGAGGGAGGAGGTCTTAGGTACTCAAGTAAAATGAATGACGACATCGTATTTGTATTCAATATTCTCGTCTGGAATATAATATTATACTGGCTGTATGATAAAGAAATAGTAGGTACCTATAGGCAGTGGCGTATTTTGAAATTTTTTGTGGGGGGGTCTAAATATTAGGTACCTACAAGTTTATAATATAAAAAAAACACATACGAGTTACGATGTAATAATTATATTATATTATATTTTTTCTGGGGGGGTCCAGACCCGGGGACCCCCCCCCCCCCCGTAAAGAAAATAGTAGGTATAGGTATGTAATATCAACGGAGAAAAAAAAAATTCTCGAGATAAAAATTTACTGTATTGACCTAATGCTACATGTGGGTGCAGACAGCACCCGTTATGTGATGGAAGTTGAATGCACGCTGTATACAGCAGTGACGGATCCAGGGCTTAATTTTTATTCTGCCCCGTTTGCCACCCCCCTGGATCCGCGACTGGTATACAGTGTACGGGATCCGGTCAAAAACACCGACAGTGAAAATGTCGATAGCCGAAATATCGACAAACCAAAATTACATTTTAAGTTACACCAAAAACCGAAATTGATTTTGTCGAAAACCGATTTTGCGTAAAAAATCCTGTTTTTCCCTGCGTTTTGAAAACTATTGGGAATCTTAAATGTTGACTCCCCAATGCACAAACTATATTCCAGTTTTCATCGAACAAGATAGGCAGGTACTAAAGTTGAAAATTAAAGCATGACTTCGACTACCTAATTATAGTGTACATACACACAGAAAAAAAGGTGGGTAAGTGGATGTCGCTCTGCTGTACAGTAGGTTACAAGTGGGTCACTGTAATGGATGGTGTTAAATTTGAATTCAATGATATAATATATCATTGTATAAGAAAAACGATTCTGAGCGGAAACAGTCAGTCAGCCTATGATATTACTAAGTCTATTTGATGATATTAGGGTGAATAAAGTAATTTATATAAAAACTATTTACATAGAATCTTGTTTTAAATTTTCAATCCTTAGAAAAGTTGAACATTTTGTAAATATTTAACTACAAAATAATTATTAAATTTTAAATGTGATCAATTTTGTCAAAATTTGAACTTTAAATGGTTATAAAAAAAATTGTGCCTATGTATTTTTAATATTTTTCAACTGCTATTGTAATAATATATCAGGAGCCTTGCCCATTTTCAAGCTTTTTTACTGAATAAATAAAATTTTATTGATATTTATAGAAAAAAAACTAAAAAATTGAAAACTGACAATGTCCATCAACACCTCAAAAAGAGTAAAATTATTTTGAAAATTCTATGGTGTATAGAAAATGCTAATATAAACATTCACTGATATTTTCAAATATCTACAATCATTCGTATTTTAATTACAATAAAGTAAGAAAATCGTTACATGAGAATCGAGTGAATATCAAATGTTGTAAAAATATAAACTTCAAACGCTCATAAAAATTTAATTTTACTTTCTTGTAGACATTTTTTTTTTTTTGATAAAAGTAAAGAAATTTATGAGGAATCTTCCATTACCATTTTCAAATCTTAGATTTAAAAAGGAAATGTTTCATGAATTTCAAACTCAAAATAATTTGCAAATTTTTGTCATAATTACGTATTTTGTAAATATTTGAATTTAATGCTTAGAAAAAAAAATGTGACTATGGATTTTTGATTTTTGTCATCTGCTTTTGAAACAATACGCTAGAAGACTTCTTTTAAATTTTCAAGATTTTTTAACAACGAATACAATTTTATTGATATTTAAGAAAAAAAAAATTGAAAAATGGAAACTGAAAATGTCCGTAAATAGCTTAAAATAGTTAAAATATTGGAAAATGTTAGGTGTATAGAAAATGCTAATACAAACATCCAGTCAACATTTCATATACGGTCATTTGTTTAGAGTTTCACAAAAATCAAAATCGATTTTTTCGAAAACAGATTTTGCCTACAAATTGCTGTTTTCCTTAAGTGGTTTTTCACGACACTTTTTTAAACTAATGGGAAATTTTTACTTTTGACTCCCTCAAAGAACCAACTAGATTCACTTTCCTATCAGAAAAATACTGTTGAAGAAAATCTATGCATTTTTACTGTCCTAAAATGTGATGAAAGAAATAAAAAAAAATTATAAATAAATAATAAAAAAAAAACACATCATTGTAAAACCAATACATTCGTCGCTCAGAATCTAATATAGTATTTGAACTTACATTTAAAATTATGATTAATTCCAAGTTAGTGCCAGTTTCCAAATTGGTTCCACTGGTTTAAACACAGGAAAAATAATGTAACACAGAAACTACCTACACCTATTATATGATTAAATATTTACTGAGTTATATGTTTTCCATTTTGACCGTTTCATTCGGTCCGTTCGGATTTTTATTAATACTTGCCATTCAAATGTAATCTTTATAGTTTAAGTACAGTTTTTACAACTTTTACATACAGGCTCCGTTGTATAAATCGTTATAATAGTATTGCTTTATCGGTTTATATTATTACGACAATCGACAAGTATCGGTATTTAACACGTGTTGGTCGATTATTTTTATTACTCTGTCGCCTTTTTGGTATTTTTACTGTCGGCATTTCGATCGGATCGCGTTCACTGTATGGTGGGCATTAAGGCTGGACATTAATGTGTTAAAAGTTTAAATTAAGTTAAGACGTTAAGTTAATTTTAATTAAGTTAATTAACTTGTTATTTTTTTTTTTTAAATTAAGTTCTAATTAATGAGTTACCTTTTTTCAAGATTAACGTGTTAACTTCAAGTTAATTTTATTTCAAAAGTATCTAAATTAAGTTAATTTTAGTGTATCTTAAAACACTTTAAGTTATCTTAAAAAAATTTGAGCCAAATCGGTTCTTCCGTTCTCGAGTTTTAGCGATACTAACGAAACGCAATTCATTTATATATATATATATAGATGGATATGAGACACGTAATGATTTCGACGTCGGCAACATTGTGTACATAATAGTATGTTCGTTTACTACTCACACAATAGTATTATAATAGGCCTGTAGCTTATAATTCTTTAAAGAAATGGTCTTATAGCAGAGAGAGAGAGGGGCTAATATTGTTGGAAAAAGATAACCACGGGACTCATATTATAATACTATAACAGTATGGACGTCTTTGAAGATAGTATTCAACTAGCACATTTTATCATTCTATCAGTGCCGTAGCCCGAAACATTTTTTAATTTTGGGTGGAGGAGGGGCACTTAATTTTTTTCTCTAGATTTTATAGGATTAGAATATTTTCACCTGTTGGTTTATGACACCATTGTTCATACTAATATTTGAGGGGGTCACTTGCTCCCCCCTTTGGTTCAGGAACTGCAAAAGTTATCCTCTTTTAACTAAAAAAAGAGTAGGTAAGGGTTTGTAATGCAGGTACATTGAATGTTTTTAAAAATTATTTAAATACGTATTGTGAATACATTTGAAAATAATAGAATTGTAAAAATTGACAATTTACGGAATTACATAATATTATCCACACATTAGTTTTATACGAACCAAATGCTCTCGTAAATTGCCTATATTCAATTCCTAAAAAACAGATCCGTTGACAACACTATTGAATACTATTTATAGGTACCTACTACATAATTATTAATATCTTCTCGTTAATTACCCGTCAAGATACTGTTCGTTCGGGCTCATTTTTATCAGTTGGACTTTGGTCTGTCGCTGACTCCACGGTTGATTTTTAATATCTGATATATTCAAACGAACTTTCAACGGTGCCAGTAATTTTATTATCATCTGTTTACAGGAATCGGAAATAATTACGTCTCGAGGGAATGAAACTGGCTTTTGTACTTGCTAGTGAAAAAAAATAAGACAAAAAATATTCATTGCTAAATGATTTTTATAGTTATTATCTATTATTTACGTAATCAGTGGCGTTGTGAGGGTAATAACAATTAGAACCCCAGGGTAGATTAAATATTCAATATTGACCCAACCAAGAATCCTTTAATCCAGCCTACTCTCAGCCCTCTAGAAACTTCAATCAAATTTCTAAAAAATTATTCTTGGGTCTATCCGACCCGTGATTTCTATCATTATGAATATAATATGAGTTCACCGTGGCACTGAAGACACACAGTTGATACATTATATAATGCTGCAAACAATTTGGTACCTACTTTTAGTAACTTTTGATAAGTTGTATCGTCAAAGGGCAGAGTTCCAAATATCATGGCGTAAAGCACTACTCCGATGGACCAAATGTCAGAGGTATTGGGCTGATAAGGTATGCCTTTTAATATTTCTGGTGACGCGTAAGCGTAACTGCCACAGAACGTGCTGCTCGTTCTCATCTGACCATTTTTCTTTATCATATTATTTCGAGCGAATCCGAAATCCGATAACTTGATATTGTAACTGGTGTCCATCAACAAGTTTTCACATTTTATGTCTCTGAGAACAAAAATAATTTTGATTTCTATTTAAACGACGGCCGTCTATCTATAACAGGGCCAGAGAGGTCGTCAACGTTTCCCAACAAGTGAACCAGTGTCTTAGCCGATGGGCGGGGGAAGGGGTGGTAGAGGGGCTATTTACCCCTCCCACATCGACAATCTCTATATTTTTTATGTATTGTGAAAACAATACAAATTTAATTTTTATGAGGTTTTTTTTATTGGCTCCCTTTTAGAAATCCTTGCTATGCCACTAAAGTGAGCTAATTTTAAGTACCTAGGTACCTACCTTGGTGGTCGTTATTATTTATTTGGTAGGTATATTATTCATATTATTAAATAGATTTTTATTTTTTAATAAAATCGACCAATATTTCTTTAAAGATCGACCAGCCAATCTCGATCGTCTGGTTGCTGACCCCTGATCTATAATAAAAGTATAAGACACTTAAAATTGGTACCTGTGTACGACTCCTTTTGTGTGGCAATATTCTACAGCGTTCACAAGTTCCATAAACCATTTTCGAGCTCTATTATCGTCTATTTTACCGTCTCTTTTAATGATGTCCAATAAACTCCCATTTTCCGCGTATTCCATAATGATGTAAACTCTAAAATGCCAAGTGTATATTTTTCTATTGATGCACACTAGATAAGTATGCATAATAATGCACGACTGCAAAATAATTTATAAAATAATTATTACCGGTGTGTTGTTTCGATCGCTTGATAGTATCTGATTAAATTATCATGCCTAAGGCCTTTGACCACTTCGATTTCTCTGGGTAGGAATTTTTCTAAATAATCGGTCGCCTCTTGAAGTTTTGAAACAATTTTAATTGCCACATTGCACCTATGGCGTTCGGAATGTGCAATCTATAGGTAGGTACATACTATTTTAAAACGTATTATATATTTTTTTTATCAATAATTGTTTTAAATAATAGCATTTATTGTGTATCGTGTTAGTTGAGAATTATATAGGTATGTACTATTATATACATTATACAATTTATAACCTTAACAGTAGCGTATGATCCACTACCCACGCTTCGGCCAACAGTGTACCCGTGCGTTTCTAACACCGAAAGCTTTTGATCTTTTGACGTTTTCTTTTTTTGATTTGTTTTTTTCAACTTTTTCTGGTTTCACGTTAGTGTTTGCGTTTTCTGCTCCATCAGCCATTCAAATAGTTTTGCTTTATAGTAAAAAATTTTGTTTTTTTAAAATCTCTATGAATTTATTATTTGTCAAAACAAATGTTTTTTGAGTATCCATAGTTCGTTTAATTTAACGTTTCCGTATACGATTATTGGTTAAAATCTATAAAACGGTCGTTACCAACGCTACTGTAGTATAATAATATGGGAACCTATATTAAATTATTCGAATTTATCCCGTAGCGGTCAGCCGTCATCCGGTACGACGCATGGTCGACGACAATAATAATATTATTTAGGTTACTCGCATACACAAATTAATAATAATTATCTACCTACATATTTAAAATTTCCCAGTTTGACGACCGCAGTGGCGAAGAGCATAAATTGTCATCGACATCATCTCATTATAATAATATCATACCTACTATTGTGTTAGTATTTAGTAATCAGTATGTCTGCCAACGATTGGGTAATCGTCAAATACATCATATTATTATAATTTACGACCACACATTATACAGGGAGCATCTTATGTCATTGTAAGCTGGGTTTTTTAACGATTATGGATCGATGACATAGAATTACGTTAAAACGAAAATAGATATTGTTTCTTTATTTTTAACAGGCAATTTTTTTAAAACAATATCAAGATTTTTGAACACGCAGGTGTACCAATAGCAAAAACAACTTTATTTTTTCAAATGGTAACTAGTATATTTCTTAATGGATTCCGGTAAAGCTTTATTTTTCTGAACATTTTAAAAGTAAAATCATCAATTTTGTTTCGCTAGTTTATTAACTATGGTCCTCTAAAGTTTAGTTAAAATATGTATTAATACCTTAATTGAAATGTTTTTATAGGTTTAATTTACAAGAGCTAAATAATTTTTATTATACTACCTTTGATACACTTAAGTAGTTTAATCGGTAATCTAATGAAACTCTCTATCTCAAAAAAAAAAAAACAAAAAAATTATTGGCAAAACCTAATTATTATTTAATTTTAACATAGGTACACTCATCAAAATAAGTATTATTATCTTCATTTGTTACTAAAGATATCGTAATTAATTACTTCACAGTTACTTTTCTTTCTATATCTTAAATTTGGATTCTTTATTAGGTGGCTAAAGTAATAATGGTAAATTGGTTAATGGTATTCGATTGTTGACATTAATGTCTCTTTGGTATGTATGGGAGTTAAAAAAAGTGGGTGTATAATGAAAAAAATGCAATGATTTGTGGTGCTCTTCTTGTAATGGGATACACTTGAAATTTCATCTAGGTTAGGTTCATAATACCCTTCTTATTTTTTACTTTTGGACATCAACATTTTATTTCGTACTTTTCCTATCATACATTCCTATCATACTTTTCTTATAATAGCATTAATTTGGATTCTTTATTAGGTGGCTATAAGGACTAAGCCACTAAGATAATACCCTAATGGCTAATGGTATTTGATTCTTGTTATAATAATATTGGACATCTGTAATTTAGATTAAAAGTATGCCTAAATTAGATACAATGTACAAACCTATATTGTCTTGACTATTTATCTAAATATCTTGCAAATAATTTATTTTAAATCACGATTATTAAATAATTCTTAAAGAATTTCAACCGCTAAATTCATACTTTGCATGCGAAACCTACCAATATAGGGCACTTATGGTTAAAATTTTAAGTTATAAAAGTTAGTTATTAGAAAATAATATTTAGCTCTTGTAAATTAACCCAATATTATTGCATTAAAAGTATTAATGCCATTTTACTATACTTTAGAGGACCCATCGTTAGTAAGCTAGTGAACCAAAACTGATGATGATTTGACTATCAACATTTTCAGAAAAAAATCTTTACCGGAATCCATTAAAAAATATACTAGTTACCATTTGAAAAAATAAATTTAGTTTTGCTATTGATACACCTGCGTGTATAAAAATTTTGAAATTGTTATTAAGAAATTGAATATTAAAAATAGAGAAACATCGTGTTAACGAATTTCTATGTCATCGATTAATAATCGTTAAAACCCCCCGCGTACAATGACATAAGGTACACTCTGTATAACTGATAATGTACGGCGTTGCCCGTAGATTGACCCGGTTACTTAACCTTCTTAAACTCTGCTAAATGTAAATTGCAAAGATTTTTACACTGATATTTTGGTTTGTTTTGACCCACGTTTTGTTTTAGTTGGAATACACGAAAACAATTACAGTGACTAATTTATGATTTTGCACTTATTTATAATGTTTTCGGTACTTTGATTATAATTCTGTACCATTTTTCGCACAAAAAAACAGGAGCAGTTTCACCAAATGTTAAAACGCCAACGTAAATTTGTTATCATGAAATTTTTATCCGTCCAATCGTTTAGTGAAAATATATTTTTTCATAATTTGATAAAATTTCAAAATAAAAATGTCTAAAAAAAAATTATATTCTGTGCAATTTTTAATGTTTTATTTTATTTTTAATGACATTTTTACATAATATACATTTCCATATACAATTTTTATTTTATTTTCTGAAGCAGAATATTTTTCGGAGTAATTTTATGAATAAAAATCAAATTTTGATTGATCACGGAAAAAAATATATAGTAATGATAACCAGAATATGATAGACATCACAAAAAATTATGGTTGCGTCCGTGACAACAATATGTTTTGCAATAGTTACAACATATTTTATGTAAATCAACATTGGTAATGATAACATAACTGTTCTGTTATTAATCATTCAGCTTGTAGATTTTACCAAACACGTTGTAACTGTAAAAAAAAGTATATGTAGCTTTTGCCAAGTTGTTGGATTATTGGAACAATTTTTTTTTTTTGAAAGTCATAATTACTTTTGCACTAATATCAATATAATTTTGTATACTTAACAGTATCTTAATAACCATAGCATACATTTTTAGGTAAATATAACATACTATTTGGTTGAGTTAATTTGTACCTGAATGTTACTTTTACAATTTGTTTTGCTAACGATACTGAGTTTATAATTTATATAAAATGTAGTAGGTACCTACTACCTATACTTACTTATTGCATCATTAGTACCTATATGTTACCAGTTAACAAATGAACCACATAATTCAAAAGTAATTTGTGTGGTAATAATATTCCTTGGTCACCTAAAATAAAATACCTAGGTGTAGTTCTGGACAGAAAACTAACTTGGAATCCACATATCACCTCCAAACTACAACAAGGATACCAGAGGCTAAAAATACTATACCCATTGATCAACCGACAAACTGCTTTAAGCTGGAGATGTTCTCTTTTATTATATAAACAAATTCTACGACCGTTACTTCTATACGCAGTCCCTGTGTGGGGAAATTGTGCAAAAACCCACATCCACAAAATACAAGTTTTCCAATCAAAAGTTTTGAGAACCATTTCTAATGCTCCATGGTTTGTACGAAATGATGCACTTCACAAAGATTTTCAGCTACCCACAATAACAGAGTACATAAAAAATTAACTATCAACTTCTTCGACCACATCAATTATGCTCATAGTGCGAAATTTTATAAGCTAAGTGACCCACCTTCTGTACGCCGACTCAAGCGTGGACGCCCACACGACCTATTGTTATAACTATTATTTATTAATATATTATTATTTTTGTTTTTATTTTTTTTTTTTTCTTCCGTTTTGTAAATATTTAAAACGTAGTCGATAGTTTCTATTTTTACTAATAATTTTTCTAATTATTACTAATTGTTATATTTTTTCCAAATGTTAAAAAAAAAAAATGTATCTAATCAACACTAAGTTAAGATGACATATGTCAGTAAAACTTTATTTAATAAAAAAGTAAATAAAAAAAAAAAAAAAGTAATACATTATTTATTATACATTTTTAACTATTCATATTATGAGGTTTAGGTAGACAATTCATATATTTATTAATAAGTAAAACAAAATAATTCACACATTAAAAAGTTTAATAGTTACCTAGGTATATCATAGATACAATATATAAAAATTTATAAAAATATTATAAATACTACCTAAATGTACAATAAATATTATATATGAATATAATATTTCAAAGGTGTAGTTATAAAATATAACATTATAATATATACCTAATAAACAAATTGTATTTATGTACACATAATATAATACAAATTAATATATATACTTTTAAACTTATGATATAGTAATAACCTAAATTGTTTATAACCTTATAATGTAAATATTATTAGCCAATAACCTTTGTTGTTGAGGCTTTAAATAAAAAAAAAAAATACAACTAAAAGAAACAATTATTGTAGGAAATATAAATATACTGTTAATATAAACAAAGTAATTAATGTATAGGGGTAATATTATTAATAATACAAGTAGGTATATAAATGCTATAAAAGTATTGAAAATGAAGCAATTTACACATTGTATACAAAATAAAATAAAATTGTTACCATAATGTTTGTTATAAAAAAATAATATTATTTCTGATTAATAATTAATTTTTTATTATTTTATTTTCCAAATAATATAGTTATAATTCATAACATAACTCTAGATACTACTTCTTAGAGTCACATATGTACATCCATTGGGCATAACACCAATATTTTTGGGAATATGTGAATACAACATATGATGATAAAAAAATACTAAACTATTCTCATGTTTAATTTCAGAAGAAAAATAATGTTCATAAAAAATTATAGTTTTTACTGACAAACATTGAAAAATTATAACTTTATTGTTACAAAGATAAATCTCATCTATAATACCAAACTTGGGTAAATTATTTTCATCAATGTCAAGTGTAAGAACCATTTTGGACTGATACTTGGTACCTTTAATACAAATCCAGGTACACTGTCTTAGGGACTCAAATGAATCTATTTCCATAAATTCTTTTATTTTTTTATATCAGTAATACTAATTATCTTCTTAGAAGGACCGGATTCAATATCATCACCCAAAGTTCCTTTAAGAAACAAATTGTTGAGTTGTAATTGATGCTTGATGGCTAAAGTCTTACAAATGTTACGTCTATTGCTACTGGTATTGGCGGATATGTTTGATAGTCTGTGTTTTGCTTCGAACCTCATACACCATAAATTAACAAGAAGACCTAATTGTTGAATAATAGAATTATAATGAAGCATAAAATGATATTTTGGTTTCAATTTTTGATGGCTATATTTAATGTATAAATCGTTGTGTTCGGAAACTAGAGTTTGGAGTAGTTCACAACAACCAATTTGTAACGACGTAAAAGTTACAATATCTAGAATTTGCCTCAGCAAAATATACCAGATACCATATGGGATCATTGAGAGGTACTAAATGGCCAATCAAGAGACCAAAATAGCGAATTAAAGACATCATTTCTGATGCAGAAAGTCTTATATTTTTTTTTCTTAAATGTTCTATATGTAATACACAAGGTTTACTACCTTTGTCAGGCCCATAATCAAAACACACTATTCTTTAATTTAGTACTTGCAAATCTTCCAATCTTCAATATAATAAGAAATTAAGAAAGCCAAATCATATTTACCAACCCCTTCTAATATATCATGCATAATATCCATTCCTACCTGTTCTAACACATTAAATCCCAAAACCTTATGCCAAATACAAGCTTCTTTAATACCACTACTTGAGACATCTCCTTCATTTATATCTAAATTATATTGTTCTACAGTCCTTCTTAAACTATTATTAACAGAAGACTGGTTTTGTATATCTTCTTTCCTCATTTTACAAATTCGGCATGGATAATTTGAAGAGAAGCTTTCTACAAATCCAGTTATACTGTGAACTCCCAAATTATCACCGAAAATAACACCTAATTCAAATTTTATTGTTCCTTTAAAGTCATCAGTACTAATATACACACCAGTATCTCTTAAATAATTCAGTTCATCGATAAGCGGTTTATATTTATATTGTTATATTGTTATTATATTGTTTCCAAATTTAACTCTAACAGATGAATGAAACAATAATGCCAAAAAAATGGTGTTCAAAGAAGATTGACGACGAGGAGGTATACAAGGAATTGATATATATATACTGCTCCAAGCTTATGAATGCATGAATGACTTCCTAATGCATTACCAACTTCGTAATAATCAAAAAATAAGAATATAGCAAGTACGATTTGAGTACCATGATTTTTTTCTTTTTTTTTCCATACAGAGCATTGCACAAAGTTTATTAAAATTGAGCTATGAACTTTTAATTTATCGACATATTCTAATGTATCTAATAGCACATTTTTTATGTGAAAAAAGTTTTTTAAAATATATCTTAATGGAATAATTTGTTGTGTACACTGAATGGGGACCATAGAGTGAGAATTATTTTTATTATTTTGTGCATTTAACCGCTCACTAATAACATATTCACAAGGAGCAATATATATTGCTTATTATGTTCCGAGGTCTGTAAAATATTTGATTCTTTTATATTCTGTGCCAAGGTCAGTAAAAGGTTCCTCAAGTACTTCCAGAATATTGTTAAAATGATTAAATGACTCATTAGAAATATTTCCTTCTGAAAGTAATTTGATAGTACTATTTTTTAAAGTCTGATGTATACCATTAAATATGTTTTTCATATCTTTGACAACTGTTTGCACAAGATTTCGTGGAACTTGGGGGTTTGCGTATAATGAAGCCAAGAAATTTTCTACACTATTTACAGCAACAAAATTTTCAGTACCTGGTATAGATTCAGGCTACACTGAACTCATATTGCCAAAAGAAGTATTAATATTATTGTTATCACTTTGCTCTGGTAAACTATTCATAAGTACAAAATTTGAATTAATATGCTGAGTTTGTGTAGACATTTCTTTTATTGATGTGTGAGAGGCCAAATGCTTCTTAAAAGAATTTAGTAAATAAAATGACCTCAGACAATTAACTTCTGCACAATCATAAGAAGTAAAGTTATAATCAGTGTGTTTAATTTGAAAATGCTTACATAATAATGAGATGGATGAAAAATGTAACTTATATATAAAACAAATAGGCATATTTGAAAATTGAATGTTTATAGTTAAATAATAACAGTTTTACTTTTAAAATATTATTTTAGTGAGATACATATATAATAAGTTATAATCACTTAATAAATCTTAATTTATGTTTAAATCGCTTAGAAGTGAATTTACTGAAACATACTCTGTGTCAAATGCAGTTTTAATTTTGTAAAAGCCCTTTTGAATGAATGTCCAAAATAGGCAAACATTCAATTGGATATTGAAGGTTTAAAGAGTGAATAATTTTAAAACAACAATCGACAGAATCAATTATCGAGTTCAACACAAAATATGTTCCATCAACGAGAACAAAATATTGCGAAATTTCATTTATATTAGGTCCAACAATAATTATAAGAGGCTGTAATGTAACTCCTAACTGAGCATACTTTTCTTTGCGTCTTGTAATATTCTCCTGTAGATCTGAGTGAGACCGTAAATGAGTGATTAAACCGTCTTTGGCTTCTATTTTTGAAGGCCTCCAGGTTGATTTCCCTTGTTTCCTTTTCGTGGTGACTGGAAAGAGAAACGGAAGAATGAGAAATGCTGCCAAGGAAGACGTTTCTTCACTTTCTATAACATATGGAAAATAACATAAGATTTTATAGAGATTTTAAGTATTAAAAAAGTAAAAATTATAATAGGTTAAAAACTTACAACTTTTTTTAATTTATTTATATTAGAATTGAGTAAATAAATTTAATTTTGTATGATTATAATAATAAACAACTCAACTGTGCTTAAGGACACATTGCAAATAATACGTAGTATCATCTATATCCTTAATTTTTATCTATTATTATTAATATATCTTTTATATTATATAGCTTTATTATTTAAATTACTTAGAACAGTTACTAACTAACAAATAGCGTTTGGGATTTGGGGGGCTTAGCCCCTAAAGCCCCCCTCACCTATTTGCGTCTACTGTCAGTTACAATTAATATTTATTCTATTTATTTGTATTCCTTAATTATTATGATTCAATATGTATTCTCTTAAAAATAACTAACACATTGTACTGAGTAGTAAACTGTGGTCCAATTGGTAATTAACTGCATTGTGATCTGTATATACTTTATGTCGACGTGTGTGCTGAGGTGGTCGTGGCGGTATAAGCAGCAGTATAAATACAAATAAGAACTCTTAATTTTATATAATAATATTATCACTCTGGCACACGCATAATATAATAATGTCATATTATTTTCTAAACACTTGTACATTGTAATATGCACCTATACAAAATACACTATAGAGTAAATATATTTTTTTTTTTTTTTATTATTGATAAGGCTTCAACAGCTTAGGTTATTAGCCTACAGAAAGTTTTAACAATGTAAAATTATGATTATTTACAACTTATTGTTTAAATGTATATAATAAAAAAATTTGTATATAGCTTCTGTGTTTTCTTCGCTGAGGGCAAGTCGGAGAGAAGATGGATTTTTGAATATTTTCCGAGCTACGGCGTATTTTGGACATCTAGTGACAATATGATCGATCATGCGTCACATAGTGGAGCGGGTTCCTTGGTGATGAGGAATGAGTGGGTGAGTTGAGTATGGCCTATTCTGGCACGGGTTATAATGACCTCATCCCTTCTTTTGAGGTTACAGGGGAAATTCCATTTTTTTTATGGAAGGCTTGATATTTCTCAGTTTATTTGAAAGAGGGACGCTGGTCCATTTTGTTTGCCATGTGTCAGAGATTTTGGTATTAATGACGTCGAGCAACTCTGAGGATGTAGTTAGGTTTATTTTTAGGGCATTATGAGGAAGTGTGGCTTCATTTGCGGATTTATCTGCTCTTTCATTGCCAGAAATGCCGACGTGAGAGGGGACCCACATGAAAGAGAAAGTTTTGTTAGAGATAGATATCAGTTTTTGGATGTGTTGTACTAGTTCATTCTTGGAGTATGGATTTGAGATAGATATTAAAGCACTCAAAGGGTCGCCTATGATGGTGAAAGAATCTGAACTTGAGGAGGAGGCGATTTTCAGTGCTTCAAGGATGGCATAAGTTTCTGCTGTGTAGATATTGGTGCTAGGGGGAAGTGAGAATTCATGATTTTCATGACCTATGATTGTTGCAAAGCCCACTCCATTAGAATTTTTGGATGCATCAGTGTATATGTGTGTACTGTTGGAGTATTGTTGAGACACTATTTCTGAGAAGAGATTGCGGATGATATTGCTGTCAGTTTAGTGTTTTCAGTAGTTGATGAGTTGAGTGTTGATATTCGGAGACCACAGCCAAGGGGGCGACTGACGTTGTACTTTGCTCAATGTTTGAATTTGAAGGCCGAGATTTTCACTGATAATTTTGAAATATTCAAAAATTGTAATCCTGCTGTTGGGTGAGTTGTAGGAGAGGGGATTATGGAGTATCTTACTGGCTATATGGTTGGGCATACTTTTGATTCTTGATATGAATTTAAGTATCTGAGTATGACGTCTAAGTTCAAGAGGCAGTTCACCAGCATTACACAAGATACTATCTCCCGGGCTAGTCCTAAAAGCACCAGTTGCCTGACGAATACCTTGGTTGTGTATAGGATTTATGGTGTTGAGAGTGTTACTTTTTGCGGAATTGTAGATTATAGCACCATAGTCGATTACCGAGAGAATAAGAGACTTGTAAATTCTGAGAAGACTTTTTGTCTCAGATCCCCATGTATTGTTTCCGAGTGTTTTTATAATTTTCATTCTTGATAAACAGTCTGCTTTGAGTTTTTTCAGGTGAGGGCGCCAGCTTAGTTTGTCATCAAAAGTGAGACCCAGAATTCGAATATTGCTGGTAAATGTCAGAGAGGTATTCATGAAAGTGATAAGGGGTAGAGGGTCTTTTCTCC